GCAAACCTGGTCCCCCCTAGAAGGGCAATTTCCTTCTGGCTTCAGCTATATGCAGAGGGCTAGTTCCAGAACCCTGTTGCTGTCTTTGAGGCCTTCACTGTCGATTCCCATCCCCTAAGGCACATATCTAGTCCTGGCCCCTTAATGGGAAACTTGGATTCAACACCACTGGCTATAAGATCTATCTTCATTTCAAGGACCTAGATATTATATTTCCTTTTCTTATCTTTGAATAGGAAGATTATGCATGTCTGTGTGTGTGGAGTGAGTATGTGTAGGAATCTATGTGTGTTTACTAACTGTACCTAGAGCACCGCCATCTTGACTAGCAGTCCATTGGCAGCCATGAGCCTTGGGTAAGCCATTTACTCTCTCTGCTCCTCAACTTCTGCATCAGTAAAATGGGAATGATAATGTTATGCATAATATAGAGTGGCTATGAAGCTTTAGCAATATTCTAGATGTGTAACCAAACCTTGTTTAACCTCTTGCTCACACTATTCACCCACATCCACATCAGACCAAATGGCAAACACCAGAATACAAAACCTCGGATTTCCCTGGGTGAGAGATTATGGGTGATTTTAGTTTTATTTGTGTATGTGTTTTACTCAATGAGCATGAATTAGTTTTGTGATTAGGAAAAAGGCAATGCATGCTGAAGAATCAGCATCAGGATTGCAAGAAGACTCATTAACAACCTGAGATATGCAGATGACACAACCTTGCTGAAAGTGAAGAAGACTTGAAACACTCACTGATGAAGATCAAAACCTACAGTTTTCAGTATGGATTACACCACAACAGGAAGAAAACAAAAATCCTCATGACTGGACCAATAAGCAACATGATAAATGAAGAAAAGATTGAAGTTGTCAAGGATTTCATTTTATTTGGATTCACAATCAATGCCCATGGAAGCAGCAGCTAAGAAATCAAATGACATATTGCATTGGGCAAATCTGTTGCAAAAGACCTTTTTAAAGTGTTAAAAAGCAAAAATATCAGTTTGAAGAGTAAGGTGAGTCTGACTGAAGCCATGGTATTTTCAATAGCCTCATATGCATGTGAGAGCTGGACAATGAATAAGAAAGACCGCAGAAGAATTGATGCATTTGAATTGTGGTGTTGGTGAAGAATATTGCATATGGCATGGACTGCCAGAAGAACAAACAAATCTGTCTTGGAAGAAGTACACCCCGAATGTTCCTTAGCAGTGAGGATGGTGAGACTTCATCTTACTTACCTTAGACATGTTATCAGGAGAGAACCACCCTAGAGAAGACCGTCACGTGTAGTCAATTAGAGGTTCAGCAAAAGAGAAGACCCTCCATGAGATGGCCTGACACAGTGGCTACAACAAGGGGTTCACATGTAACAGTGATTGTGAGGATGGTTCAGGACCAGGCAGCATTTCATTGTTATATATGGGGTAGCCATGAGTTGGAACTGACTTGATGGCACCTAACAACACAGTCCTTAGGTGGCGCAAATGGTTAAGAGCTTATCTATTAGCTGAAACGTTGACAGTTCAAACCTACTCAGAGGCTCCTCAGAAGACAGGCTTGGTGATCTGCTTCTGCAAAGTCACAGCCTTAAAAACTCTGTGGAGCACCCGGTTAACCTGGTTCTACTCCACATGCATGGGTCACTGTGAACCAGGATGGACTGGACAGCAACTAACAACCACACAGTATGTTAGGCGCTTTCTGGGAGCATTGCTGGGGCCACAGTGAAGGATAAGAGGTTGGTCTGGTCCTACTGGGGAAGGCCCAGAGCTTCCATTGGGGAAAGGATGCTTGAGAAAGAGTCCACCCAGCAAAAGTTGGGGTAGGAGGGGGTGAGGAAGATGGTGTCCTTAGGCTTGGTGGAGCCTGGAGAGAGAGAGGTGGTCTGAGGAACACCTGGGAGATTCATTGGTCCTTCTCTTTGTCTCCATGTCTGTGTCCCCTAGTGTGTCTCTTACTCAGCGCCAGGCCACTGTACCTGCTCATAAGTGTTGAACAAATAATTGAACAAGCTAGGAATTTCTTTCCTCCCTTCATGCCCAGCCAGGTTCACTGCTCATCTTCTTCCTCAACCCACAGAATGGGGCTGGGCTGGGGCCAGCTAGAGATTTGGGACTGGCCCTCTGCTTGGTGGTGGTAGATGGTTCGTGAGGGCTCAACACTTGTTTCCTGGGTGCTGAGCTCTTGAGTCCTCAGGCTGTCTCCAGGGACTGCCTCCAACCCCAAGGCATCATTTACCCTTAGGATCAGTACCAGACTACAGCCTGGCTAGCACTGACAGCAGGGACCCTAGCTGATCCTTAGTTCTTGTGACTGGTCCCCTGGGAAACCATCTGTGACACAACAGCCTAAAGATGAAAAGGTGGGGCTGGCAAGCACAAGGAAAGTAAGAAACCAGGGCAGGAGACTGTCCTCTGAGCCACAAACTGTCAGATCGGCCGTCACAGGTCAAGCCAAGTGTCGCTGGACATCTGCTGGTCAGACTTCACAAGGTCCATTTCCCTGCCTGTCCCTCCCCCATTTTGTGAGTGGCTGAATGTTAGGGGAAGAATGAGCAAGCAACCTGGTGGGTGTCTAATTCCTCCTCACTACGAACTACAAACTGACTTAGGGGCCCAAAGGCTTCTCAGGCACACACCTGTCTCACTCCAGAGAGCAAGAACCCCAGCAACAAGGACAGTGCCATTGGCCAGCCACCTATTCAGGGCCAGGCCGTGTGCCAAGCCCTTGCAAGCCTTACGTCAGGAAAGCCTCTCAGTGTTTGTTATGGACTGAATTGTGCTCCCCCAAAATACGTGTTGTAAATCCTAACCTTGATACCTGGGTTATATTCACGTTTGGGAATGGGTTTTCTTTGCTCTATTGAAGAGGTAGCATTAAAGTAGGGGGTGTTTTAAGCCAATCTCTTATAAAACATAAAAAGAGTCGCTTGAGCAAGTACCCAAGCAAGCAAGCAGAGGTGCAGGAATAGATGCCATGCCACAAGAAAACCACCAAGGAGTCCGGGAACAGAAGCTGAAGAAAGACAAGGACCTGCCCCCAGAGCAGACAGAAAGAGCATCTTCCCTTAGAGCTGGTGTCTGAATTCAGACAGCCTCCTAAGCTGTGAGAGAATAAAGTTGTTTGCTAAAGCCACCCGTGTGGTCTTTCTGTTATAGCTGCACTAGATAACTGAGACAGTGTTGTTTCTCCTGTAGAAAGTGAGGAAACAGAGACACAGAGTGCTATTTCACAAGCTCAAGGGCACTTAGTAGAAGCAGGATTTGAACCCACACCTCATCGCAGAGCTGCCCTGCAGGCCACCCTGACAGGCCGATCACTCAGGGAAAATGGGTTTTGAGCTCATGTGCAAATTCCTTTCAGTGGAGGGGATGGTTTCTTAGGCTCTGTTTTGGAAGAGCCAACTCAGCTGCCTTTTCATGGAGCCTTCTTCCCTGCTCACAGCCACAGGGCTCAGGGGGCCCAAGTTCCCTTCTAACTCCTGTCACTGGCCACCAAAGCCATCTGTAAACCCTTCCTGACATGAGTTACTATCTCTGAAGTTACATCAACAGTGGCTTCTGAGGGCTGCTTGTTACTCTCCTCTCTTCTGCATCCTATTTCACCATCATCAAATATTTACGGAACACTCAGCATATATTAGGTCTAGAGATGCAAAGAGTCTTGATGCCTTGGGAGAATTTGTAATTTGAATCCATCAGTCTTTGTACCAGGCACAGGGGGCACAGGCTGAATCAATGGCTGGGCTCTGCCTTCCTGGTGTACCTAGTGCGTCTAAAAAGTTCTCCAGTGTTTTCTGCCCACCACGTTATTCTGAGAATGGTGAGGGGGCCAAGCACTGGCTTCAGGAGGCAGTGGGGAGCCGCGCTGGTGGTAGGGCGTGTGAGACACTGTGAGACCACTCGTTTTGTACTAATGCCCTCCAGGTAATTATTCTTTAACCAGGAGCCATTAGTGCCGGGGACTCCAGCCCGTTCCCCACGCCTCAGGGCTTTATCTTATAGAGTCCTAAGACCCCCTGCCCTCAAGGTAATTATTCTTTAACTAGGAGCCATTAGTACCGGGAACTCCAGCACGTCCCCCATGCCTCAGGGCTTTACCTCACAGAGCCCTAAAACCCCCTCCCCTCCTTTTCTACCGCCTAGCAACAACCAATCAAAGGAGAGAGGTACCTCTTTGCTTTTGTGTTACTCCCCTGTATTTTTTTCCTATAAAATTGTAATTGTAATAGAGCATAGGGTCTTTTGCCAAAACCGCTGCATCGGTGTAAGCGGAGACCCTAGCTCGAGCTAGCCAATAAACTTTCCTTTTGCTTTTGCATTATCGTGTCAGTGGGAGCTGCCTCGGCCGACACTCCTTTCATGACCTGAGTCCAAAACACAATCAGGGCTGTTAGGAAACTGAGGACCAACGCGGATGAGCTGGACCAGAGGCCCTGACTAGGAACGAAGCCAAAACCCGGGTGAAGAAACGGAGGGAATGGAATCGATTCAGAGAAGGATCAGAGGTGTATCCCCCGCAGTGACGGTGATGGCACAGGAGGCGTCAAGGCCAGTTCCAATTTATAACTCGAGCTAGGCGCTGCCTCTTGCCCTCCGGAATCATTCCCCACGCCCCCGGACATTGGAGGTGCAGATGGAGAGAAGCCTTCCCTAGCCATGCGCTTCTGTCGCAGGCCGCTGAGGCTCTGGGAATCCCTGCAGTCGGTAGCGACACTGAATGATACCTGTCCTGTCCAACAAACACTTGCCCGGAGGACCGCGGACGCTTCAAGCTGAACGGATTCTGGGGACCACAGACCGGGCCAGGTCTCGCGCCTGCGCAGCACCCTGGACTACAATTCCCGCCCTGCCCCTCACGCGTCCGCCGCGCCGGAAGACCCCCGGAAGTGGTTGTTGCAGGGGGTCGTCTCCAACCTTTGCGCTGGAGGCGGACAGGCAGGTTTGGGGAAGGGGTCGTGAGCTGGAAACCCGATGCGAGGAAGGAGATTCGGAGATGGCTTCGGCTGGAGGCGGCGACTGCACCGACGCCGCGCCGGAGGCGGACTGCCCTCACCAGCGGCCTTTCCTGATTGGGGTGAGCGGCGGCACTGCGAGCGGGAAGGTAAGAGGCTTGACTGCCGACCCCCTTGTAATCCGGCCTTGGTCCGGAGAAGAGACCCCAGGCCTGGATGGCGAGGTGCCTTCTCCCAGGCATGGGCAGAGCCGAGCAGCGAAGGGGCTGCGGGCTGCAGCGCACCAGGGCCGGCCAGAGGCGCAGGCAGAAAGTGGGGAACTTGCCTTCGGGGCTCCCCGCAAGGCCCCCACCCAGACTTCTTGATTAGTGCTGCCACTTGCCCCGCGGCCCCCCAGCCAATCCCGCCTGTGGCGGTGGCCAACAGGCTCCTGGGGCTGTTAACAGGTCAGTGTCTCCGGAAGCCTGGTCTTTGCAGAAACACTCAGGAAAATCCCTGAGAGTTTCCAGGCTGGAATCCTATTTCTTTATTCTTCAGTCAACTGTGTGTGAGAAGATCATGGAGTTGCTGGGGCAGAACGAAGTAGACCACCGGCAGCGGAAGTTGGTCATCTTAAGCCAAGACAGGTTCTATAAGGTCCTGACGGCAGAACAGAAGGCAAAGGCCTTGAAGGGACAGTACAATTTCGACCACCCAGGTAGATGGGGAGACCCTGACAGTGGGGAGGAGTGGGGGTGAGGGCAGGCGCTCCTGAGTGCACTCCCAGCCTGCTGTTGCTCTGGTCCAGGGTTGGAGGAGGAAGCTGAGACCAGAGAGGGTCCATGAAATTTCCCAGACAGCCCACCCGGAGCAGGCTGCAGTTCCGTCAGGAGGGCTTGGCTGAGCTCCCAGGGCTCTTGGTGGCCCCTGGCTGGGAACCAGTCAGGAAGCCTGCATGGCAGAGGGCTCTTCTGGATCTCCGTGCTTCAGTGACTCCAAAACGTTGATTCCGACTCATAGCAGCCCCGAGTAGACAGAATAGAACTGTCCCATCGTGTTTCCAAGACTGTAATCTTTACAGAGCCGACTGCCACATCTTTCTCCCATAGAGCGGCTGGTGGGGTCAAACTGCCAACCTTAACCACTTTGCCAACAGGGCACCTTTCACTCTGGTCTTGTAGAAATCCACTTCCCTCTCCCCACCTTGCTCCTTTTAGGGGCCCTTTGGACACAGCACTGTCCTTGGTGGCCTTTCGTCTACCACCTGTCCTGGGGCAGAGTACTCAGGCCAGCTGTGGATAACAGTGGGTAAACCAGAGCTGGTGCACTGAATGAAGGCCCATGGCCTGGTCTGGTCAAGGGCCGAGTGAATGGAGAAAGTGGGTAGTTGACAGGGAGGAACGCGGCTGCCCCCGCCACTGCTAGAAGATTTACTCAGTGGATGGCTCCTTTGGCCCTTTCCAGGAGGGCACCTGGGAAGAAGGCTCGGGACACACCAGTCCTATTTCCCAGAAGAAGAGGGCAGCTGAGGCCTAACCTCCGTCTGTCCCAGCACTGGCTGATCCTCGTGTACAAAGCAGGAAGCTGCTGCCCAGAGGGGCCCCTGCAGCTTGGGCTGTGGCCACTGCCTGAGGGCAGCAAGAACAGGGCCATCTCATCGTTGGCAAGACCGAACATAAAACTGTAGGGGCAGCTCCTAGTGTTACTGTCCTGTGGGGTGCTTGGCTCTCTGTGTCACCTCCACTAGCTATGGCTGACCCCACAGCGGAAGAAAGTGCAGCCCCCTCTCTTGTACAAGGACAGCTGGGCTATGTTGCTTTTGTCTTATCTCTGCAGATGCTTTTGATAATGACTTGATGCACAGGACACTGAAAAACATCGTGGAGGGCAAAACTGTTGAGGTCCCCGCCTATGATTTTGTGACCCACTCTAGGTAAGTGGCAGTTCCTGGGAGGCTGAGGAGGGGCCGTGCACAGCAGTCAGTTAGGGTGCATCCAGGAGGCTGCCCCACAGGAGGCCCTGCCCTGGTTTCTGAGGACTCACCCTGATCTGCCCTTGCCAAGGAGTTAGTGCCCCAGTCCTGAAGCTGTGCAGAAGGCTTGAGACCCATTGTCTCCAGCAGGGCCTGTTTCCTTGTCCCTGCCCCACAGGTTACTGGAGACAACGGTGGTCTACCCTGCGGACGTGGTTCTCTTTGAGGGCATCTTGGTGTTCTATAGCCAGGAGATCAGGGACATGTTCCACCTGCGCCTCTTTGTGGACACCGACTCTGACGTCAGGCTGTCGCGAAGGGGTAAGGGGGACACAGGCCTCTTCGACCCCCAGCTGAGGTTGGCCACCAGTCCCAAGGCCTGAATGTCACCTTGCTTATCTCTTCAGTTCTCCGGGATGTGCACCGCGGGCGGGACCTGGAGCAGATTCTAACACAGTATACCACCTTCGTCAAGCCAGCCTTCGAGGAGTTTTGCCTGCCGGTACCCACCTTTCACTTACTTGGGAACTCATCTTGCCCCTTTTCAAAAGGATGCACGTCACCCAGTTCTGTGAGAGATCTGAAGTTTGGACGAAAGTTACCTGGTTGATGAGTGGGGAAGAATTTAGTTTATTATTATTACACCTAAGTGCCCAGGGATGAATTCTTAGCTCTAAACAGTTCTCCACACTTGCTGTTCCTTCTGGCTAAAAAGCCCCTTCTCTTCTCCATCCCCCACCCCCATATCCACATTAGCTTTCCAGGCCTTTGCCCAGATGTCTCCTTTAACATCTCAGTTTACCACTGAGATCCCTCCCTTCTCCCCCCACTCCTGGCCCTGGCCTGTCTGCCTGCTCTCGTTTCCAGAGCATTTCTTATCATCTCGCATACACTGTGTTTTTCTGTTTATCCAAAGTGTGTCCCTTCTAGCTCCTCCTGCCCCCCAGATGGTAAACTCCATGATGACAGGGACTTTTGTCTGCTTGCTGCCAAAAACTGTCTGGTACATGTTGTTGGGTGCCACTGAGTCAATTCTGATTCATAGTGACCCTTGGGACTTTGCGTTCATATTCCCTTAAGTTTCTGGAAAATAACTTGACACCAGTAAATTGACAGTAACTACCTCTCTCTTAGGAGCTCTGATAGCATAGTGCCTAAGGCACTTGACTGCTAACCAGAAGGCTGGCAGTTCAAACCCACCAGCCACTCCTCGGAAGGTTGGGCAATCTACTTCCGTAGTGATAACTGCCTCAGAAACCCAAGGAGGGGTCTCTGTGAGTTGGGTCCGACTCGACGGCACATAACAAACAACAACCTCTTTTATTCACAGAAAGACATTTGACAAGTAGGTAGCTTAGAGTAAAACTTTGGATACCAAATCTGAGCAGGTGACCCAAGTGGCAGAAAATACCATCATCTGCCCAGTGCCCCCAAGTCTCCCTTGCCCTCACCCTTCACACATAGCCACTCACTGAGACTTAACTAACCTAGTCTCTTAAATATTTCCTGACTATAACCCTTCTTAAGGAGCTCTGGAAGGAGCTCTGGTAGCATAGTGCCTAAGGCACTTGACTGCTAACCAGAAGGCTGGCGGTTCAAACCCACCAGCTACTCCTCGGAAGGAAGGTTGGGCAATCCTGCTTCCGTAGTGATACTGCCTCGGAAACCCAAGGAGGGGTCACTATGAGTCAGGGCCGACTCGACAGCAAATAACAACAACAACAACAAGGAGCTCTGGTAGCACAATGTCTAAGGCATCTGACTGCTACCCAGAAGGTTGGTGGTTCAAACCCACCAGCCACTCCATGGAAGCAAGACTGCACAATCTACTTCTGTAAAGATTCACCACCTCAGAAACCCAAGGGGGTCACTATGAATTGGAATCAACTTGATGGCAGTGGGTTTGGTTTTTGGTATAGGCCTTCTTCCATCTCTGCCAGCAATTGAGCCCTTAATCAGTTTTCCTGAACTTCGGCAGCTGGGGTCCTGCCTCTGCTGTTTCCCTTCCCACCCGTTATCTGTACTCCACCAGCCACTAGGTCAAAATGGAAACTGACCCTGGCCCTGTGGTGCTTGTATTTTTCATGGGCTTCTACTGCCTACAGTCACAACTGTCTCTGAGACTTGGTCCCTGCCTGTCTCTGCAGCTCATGTCTTGTGACATATCTCCTTGACCCCAAATCCACACACCAGCAACACTGAATGGTTGCAGGTCTATCTCTCAGCCCAGACTGTGTCCCCAGCTGTAATGCCCTCTGCCACCCCACTTCTGATTCTTGTGTGTCCCCTCCCTGGGGCCCAGCACATCTGGTTGGGTCCCTTCTCATTGGTCCTGTTTTTCATGGTAGATCTCCTCCCTGCTGTTACCTAGCAGAGTAGCTGGCATAGAGCAGGCCTTCATCATCATCAGGATGGATGGATGGATGGATGAACGGATGGATGAGAACAGGTAGCACAGGCTGCCTTTACATGTGATGCAGTCGCATTAACAGAGGATGGAGCCTGGCTGTGTCCTGCCCGCTTCCTGAGCCACCTCCAGGGCCTTTGCGGGAAGGTTCAGAATTTCAGAGGAAGAGCATTGTTACTGTGGAAAGCTGTCAACTATTACTTGGCCTAGCAATCTAGTTTGCCCAGAGAACAGCCCCTTACAGTGGTGTCCATGGAAAAGGACAAGGGTAGGCAGTTCTTTGGCTGCCTCAACATTGTATTCTGCTTGCTGCCTTGATCACTGTCTGAATCCTTGGTTGATTGATTAACTACTTGACTCCCTGTCCCCGTCTGCCTGCGTTATTAGCACCCTAGGGCTTCCTCCCCACCACTGCTAGCCTGGAGTTAACTCACTCACCATGGCTGGCAAGTCTTTATCAGGATTTTCTTTTTGCCTTGCAGACAAAGAAGTATGCTGACGTGATCATCCCTCGAGGAGTTGACAATATGGGTAAGAACCAGGCCTAAAGGACTGGGACTGTACCTTCTCCCTCGCAGAGTACACGAAGCAGGGACAGTTACACATGGCAGTTACTAGCAACTCCCAAATGCATGAGGCCCATCACTCCGTGTTTGTGGCACAAGTGCAGGAGCAAGTAGATTTACTGTAAAAGTACATTTAGAACCGTTGGACGGGGATTACTGTTATATAATATAAACCAGTGGCAGGAGACTCAGCCGTGAAGTTTGACACACTTTTGGCCTGATGCATGTTTTTCTGTCTGCTGAGCACCAGACGGATGCCTGGGTGTAAAGAACTGCTTCAGGGAGCAGCTGTCGGGATTTTTAAATGGAGCAGGCAGTGCTGTGGGTTAGGTGGGCCCCCGCTGAGAGGGTGAAACCCAGGGAGCTGACTCAAGGGGTGTTCATGGGACAGGGCGCAGCTAACCCCGCCTCCCGTTTGTCTTTGTTGCAGTTGCAATCAACCTGATCGTGCAGCACATCCAGGACATTCTGAACGGTGACATCTGCAAATGGCACCGAGGAGGGCCCAATGGCCGGAGCTGCAAGAGGACGTTTTCTGAGCCCCGAGACCATCCTGGGGTGCTGACGTCTGGCAAGCTGTCCCACTTGGAGTCCAGCAGCAGACCCCACTAAGGAGCTAGAGTTTTTGCTCCCTCAGCCTCCTGGGCAGGCCCCCTGATAGACACGTGTATGGTGACTGGGCCCGTGGATGCCCACCCTGCCCCTAAAACATGGTCACCACTTCTTTCCACATATACTACAGGGGGCATTATTACTCAAATGAGATGTGTCAGGATAGCAGTAGGACATTCAGGTGTTTCCTCCTGCTTCCTCATGCTAAAGGAGTTTTAATCTCTAGGTTGCTGAGAAATGCCACAAACTCCATAGTAAAGCCTGTTAGCCTTGCTTCCAGGAGTGCAAATCACGTTTCTTTTTTAAAACTGAGGAAACAGCCAGGACTGGCTGGCGCAGTGTTTCTGAGACGTCACAGTGAACCCACGGGAAGGGACACGTTTTACAGCGTGATCCATATCACACACATGAATCCCAAGTTTCAGGAGACACCACTTCCCCTTCGTATGAGTTACTCACCCTAATGTTTTCTATTTTATTCTATTTCACAACTGCAGGTGGTAACCTATCAACTTAATTTCATGACCCACTCATGAGTGGTGATCGAGTTTGATAAACATGGATCTGAGGAGCCCTGAGCCCCCAGGAAGGAACCCTGGGTGTCCTGTTTACCAGGGCCTGTGAGCCCGCCTGGCCCGTGTGGCCTGGTAAAAGCAGCTGGCAGTCTTGCCTAGTTCTGGCTGCAGCGTGCAGTGTCTGCAGAAGAAACCCCTGCATGGGCTGGGGCCACCTAAGCCCTGGATGCTCCCTGAGCACAGGCTGTTCCTCGTGCAGGTCCAGCCAAGGGACCTACTGGATTGTTGAGGTTTAAGTGAGTGTTGCTGTGTTTGTCAGTCAGTAGGCCTATGCTCACCAGAGTTCATGGCCAGGTTCGTTCATAAGTGGTAACCTTCACCCTGTGGTGATCTAGTTTATCTTTCTTCCCACATAACAGCCGTTTCTGTAGAAGCCGTCCTGTCCACTGCTGTGACCTAAGCTGTGTGGGTACTTTTGATTCCTTTCTGTCGAGTAACTCACCAGTCATGAGACATGATGTTCGTTAGCTCCTGAGACTGGGTTCTGAATAAGTAGCTGTGTAGCAGTTTTGTCAAACTTTTTGTGCCCTTTTGGAGTGAGAAATAAACACCAAACACTAATGCTAATTAGTCCCTTTTTTATTTACATTAATGAAAAGGCAAATTCAGGGCAAGGAAATGTGTGGATGACACCAGCATGGACTGCTGATGGTGAAGTGGGAGATGCTCCTCACTCGTGTAGCAGCAAAATCTCCTCAGAAGAGATTTCAAAACAGGCACGAGGAGTAACAGCATTACACACAGTGATCAGAGAAGTCCATTTCCACCTCCTAGGTCTTACTCACACAGCTTCTTGGTTACCAACAAGCTCTAGGAAATTCTTGCAAGGCCTCACTGAAGACAAACACTAACACACTGCTCTCTTCAGTGGGTTTGCCAGGAAGATTCCACAGAGGAAGATTCATTAACCAAATCAAACCAAAACTACCAGCTGATACGGAAGACGTGGTTAGACTCGAACTCGCTACATCACTGACCTCTTCAGTTCTGTTCTTCGTCAGCAATTTCTACGTTACCCACTGAAGTACTCAATGGGTCTTTGTTCAGTGGGTTTCTGAGGAGTTAGTGGACATGTAGGGCCTATTCTTTACTGTCTGGAATAAACAAACTCCTCCAAATGAGGTGCTCATCAGAGAGTTTCAAGAATGAAACCATAATAAATTCTGGCAGAATCTCTAGCAAGACCTGGCCAGTCTCCTCCAGGCGCAGAGACACTGCAGGTTTGAAAGAGAAGTCTTTACCAAAGACTGGTTCTGCCTTGTCCTGTGCTGGCACACTGTTCTCTGAGTACCTGCTCTGCAGCTACTTCCGGATCAAGATGTCCCAGCTGTCTTTCCAGCGGAGGGCCCTGAGTTCACTCGGGGACAGAGACGTGTCCCCGTATGTCAGTGGGCGCAGGGTGTAAGACAC